AATAGTTTTTCGTGGTCGCCCCTGATGTTCTCGGGGTACGTGGGTATATATATAGGAGGAAGAAGTAGGTCGGTGGACACCCGAAGGGCCCACGAGATAGGGGCGCGCCCAGTAGGGGGGCGCCCTCCACCCTCGTGGCCTCCTCGATTGTTTCTTGACTTGCACTCCAAGTCCTCTGGATCACGTTTGTTCCAAAAAGATCGCTCCCGAAGGTTTCATTCCGTTTGGACTCCGTTTGATATTCCTTTTCTTCGAAACACTGAAATAGGCAAAAAAAACAGCAATACAGGCTGGGCCTCCTGTTAGTAGGTTAGTCTCAAAAATGATATAAAAGTGTAAAGTAAAGCCCATAAATACCCAAAACAGGTAATATAATAGCATGGAACAATCAAAAATTATAGATATGTTGGAGACGTATCAGAGATACTCACCACGTTGTCTCCCGGCCAGATGGGCCGGGCCGAGGACCCCCATGGCGGTTCACTGGTGGGTCATATCTAGAAGACCCATTGCGTATACATGGAAGCTTCCCGAGGATATGGTCCATACTTCAAGATTATGTCAACTACACCACGATCTGCCATATACGAGTAGCAAACATATATGTAAGCCTAGACCACATGGTACCTTTATAAACTAGGGGATAGGGCCCATATAAGATCATAGACAATCTCGTGGTACACAAACTTGTATTTTGTTCTTCATCCACAATCAATACAAATAAAAGCAGGACACAGGGTATTGTCTCTTCAAGAGAGCCCGAGACTGGATACAACCACATGTCTATTATTACCATCCTAGCCTATGAGCTCGGAACCCCTACCCGAGATTCAAAGAAATCGACTGCATCATTGGCGGCCCATGCATGTCCCTGCTGATAGTCACGTAACTCCGATGGGAATCTGCATAGGTGAGCAGATCGGTTCCGGCTTGACCTTTCTGCCGGGCCAGATCTTCGCCTTTCTGTCGGACCTCTCAGTGACTAAACCGTCCACCTAGGCCAAGTCGATAACCTCGCTCCTAATCAAGTCATGAGATTTGGCAACTTGAAGTACGCCGCGGATTCCCGAGGGAAACTGAACTTCTCATGCTGGGAGTCAGACCATGTCGAGGACCAACAACTCACGCCCGTACCAACGCCGATGTCGATCAGGCTCAAGGCGGGTACGTGAATGGTACGTCCTAGACCCGACGAAACAGCTCGGGTGCCAGGCCATGGACTTGGCTCCGCAGGAACACCCCGGATCCATGTCAGATCGGTGAAGCAGGCATGCATGTTAGGGTGACCAATATCACTTCAAATCGAACAATTCAACCAAGTCATTTGCTAAGGCACCTATGAAAGCACCTACATATCAAGTAAGTACAGTTACAGAAGGACATGTATATACCCTTTTTTGGAAAAGGAGGATTTCCCCAGGCTTTGCATCAGAATGATGCAATGCAGCCATATTATTAAAAATGGTCTGAAGTACAAAGTTTGGTACAATATCTCAAGGTCTCAAAATGAACATGAAACAAGCAAAACTCTCCACAACCGGCATTTTTAGGACAGTAAAATTGAGCCTAATCCCAGCCCTCTCACGTCATTAGCGATCCGATCTAGCCCCCAAGTCATTTTTGGTCGTTGGATTTGCTTTGTTATTGCACGATTTACCACTAAGTGGGATTGTAGGTATCCCATGCTACTGTCTCCAAATGGTTGCATCCAATAGCCATATGCTCCTTGGCATCCGCATGACTGAGTGACGACCACATACGGATCCAACCAGTTGCCCTTTATATGACCTGCAAAAAAATTATGACATTGTGCCTGCTAAAAATCACATCATTCCGGCAGTTTCAGATAGCCCAAATTAATGCACACATCCCAACTCGAATATGCGCCGCTATTTTAGAATCTACCCCATTTAGCCACATTCCAAATAACGTGGCTATGCTATCCGGGGGTTTGACATTGAATATAACTTGTATTGTATGCCAAAGTAGCCTGGCAAGTGGGCATTTGATAAAAAGATATTGGATAGTTTCATTCTGACCACAAAAACAGAAACGCTACTACCCTCCCATTATGCTTTGCCAATTTATCTTTAGTCAAAATCACTTCCTTGTGCATATACCACATAAATACCTTATACCCTTGTTTATTTACAACCAAATTATTATGCATAATCACTGTAGCATAATCTAGAAATGGTATGACTTAGGCTTGTATTTTACCCTGCAATTTTCCTAATCAATTTGGAAGAAACTTTAACCTTAAAACAGAACATTAAAGTCGGAAGATCCTAATATAAATGTCACACTAAATAAGGAAATAGAAGAATAGCACAAGAGAATAGGAACAAACGGCTTTCATTGTTGTTGTATCCTGAGAATGTATATAAACATCTAAATCTAGAGAGTGAGCAGCTCATGCGGTACAACCGACAATAGAAACAACAAACTATGAACAATTAATTACTCCCTCCGTTTCATATGTAACGTGTACATTTATTTATTTTGAAAATTCAAACTTTATAGACTTCAACCAACTTTATAGAGAAAACTATTTCTATCTACAATACCAAATATATAAAATATGAAACTACATCTTATGATGATTCTAATGATATATGTTTGACATTCTAGATGTAAATGTTTTTCTTCACAAACTTGGTCAAAGTTTGTGAGGTTTGACTTTTCAAAGAATCTATATGCACTACGTTATGAAACGGAGGGACTAAAATGAATCATATTCAAATAAGTCAGGAAATAGTGAAATATCTTACATAACCATGTAAAAGTGGTACCTCGGGCAGGTCTTCTGCCCACTACTCTATGTATCTCATAGGAGCAATGCTACATCCACGTAAAGATCTACAAATGTTTACGTGCTGGAGTGACTTGGCAACGTTTAATTGGATTAAGGGGGAGGGTGAG